ACTGCAATTATAAAAACTGTCTACTGAAACGCTGTAGAAATAATACGAATGGAAGTAATCAATAATATAAAGTGTCATATATAAAATCGAGATAAATCAATAAAAAATTGTTAATTGTTAGATATAAACGCACAGTGTATAATAATAATAATAATAGTAATAAATATATAGGTAATATGTCGAAGAAAAGTCGACTTCCCCCCCACCCTCTTACCAGACATACCGATACCCTATACATACGACATTGATCTATTAAACGCGTATACCTACAATACTTATCCATAATAAATAGTTGGCCGGAGTAAAGTTATCATTCGTATAATTTTATGAACAATATTTGTGTGTAGTACATTTTTTGGCAAAGCATAAACCGGCCAAAATAATTTTATATATAATATGAAAGCTATAAATCTTTTAAAAACGCGCACACACTTACGCGTAAACTCAACAAAACGTATATATATATATATACTTATAGACTATTATTGGTGTACCCAGAGCCAAGTTGAACGGTGAGGGGAGGGCAAGCAGGGCAAGGGAGGGAGATAGGGAAGTTGTCCACGGGCGGTGATTGTGTACGAACCAACAAGTATAAGCGAACAAATAATTTGTAATACTTATTAATAAGATAAGGTGAATAATATATACACTCGCATCAATCTTAATGTTTAAACATGCTACTATAAAATAGCAAACTATTACGTTTGGCAGAACCAATAGTGTGGCATTTGTTTTAACGGCAGAAAAGTATTGAATTCAAGTATATATCACCGCCAACTCCCTTGAATTTTGTTTCCCTCCCTGTTAAATGTGAGTAATTTGTCTGGATTCAACACTGCGGCAGAGTCAAATTATTGACATATATTATCGAAATCAAACATAAAGATAATATAACGATAATTTTTATGTGTTTGGGAGTTTGGTTAAGTTCGTGTTTTCTACCAGAAATATTGCTCCAATAGAAGAACAATCATAAGACCTTTTTTCTTAAATTTTTTAATTAAGCTGGTGACTAACAAATAACTAAACATACTCAATGGTAAAAAAAAAATTAGTGTTATGATGTGGTATTTCTTAATTTTTTAAGGAGAGTTTTAAAATCAAATTTTAACGAAAACGGTACATATTTCGGCCTTTCAAAACATGTAAGACCGAACTTCGCTCCGAACCGTTTTTCGTTAGCATCGGTTTATCGTTGGTTTAAGTGAAATGAAACCCATCTTTCCAACTATCTACTCACAACAGTGGCCGCACTCGTCTCCAATATCAACTGTTGTTTTTTTTTTTTTTAGTACACTCCTTAACGAATCATGTTGTGTACCGTTTGTCCATATACATCTCACGCCTTCGTATGGTATACGTAAGAACATACACATATATATATATATATATTATTATAAGAACACACGTTTCCGTACAAGGAATTTAATTTAGGGTTGTGGCAAAAAAAAAATTTAAAAATAAAACTGACAATAATGATGTTTATAAAATAAACGGGCGAAAAAAACGCATTTTTTGAATAACCGGCAGTGCGTTATTTAAAAACGCCGCAGAAAACGGTTATTGCAAGCGAAATTGAACGTGTTTAAATTGTACATATAATACGCTGCAGTATATAGGTATACAATAATGTAACTCCGGAGGGTTTCTGTACACTTTCCGCTCAATTCAGCCACGGTGCCCTGTTGCGAACACCACGGGGGACGAAAAAAAAAATCGATACTTTGATCAGGTACTCTAATTCTCATCGATAATCGGTTTTTTTCTTTATTTTACCGAACATAATGTGCGATATAAGCAGTCCGAACGTGCAGCCGACTAGATACATCGTTTTCTGTACATAAGATTAAATTTGAAATCAACAAACAGTCGAAAATCTCAACAAATTATGAATACATTTTTACAATAAGTCACGGCGATAGCCCCGGGAAGCGCTCGCGGTGCCCCGCCGCAGTCCGGGAACCACCCGTGTAGCTGTGACGCGCCGCAGCGGTTCGCCTTTGAGCGCAACCACTGCGGGTAAGTGAGTACACTAGAGGCGGCCCGGCCGAATTCGCGCGTGGATTACGGGAACGTCTTTCCGGACATTATTTTACCGTCGTCGCGCTACGGCTGCCGTGTGTAGCCGCTGTCGAATTTCGAAAATAAAAAAAAAAAAATAAAAAAACCGTGCAGTTTCGTCATCCTACACACTAATCGTGTGTATAGACTGCGGGCGTTGCGATGCGGCTTAAAATGTTATAATGTCGGTGATTTTCAGCGCGCCGTCGCGTTACACAAGCCGCAAACAATAATGGCATATGTAAAAAAAAAAAAAAAAAAAAATACACGCAATGATATACACGCATACAATATATTATACGTATTTGTGCATAAAGACGAAAATAAACTTTTTTTCCCCGAACTATTTTTTTTTTATCATATCGTTGTACCGGTGTACTTTGCGAGCGTCCGCGACGAACCGCGGCCGGCGTACTCGAACTTGTCGAACATATTTTTGGTTTTTTTCTCTCGAAATTCATACGTGTGTATCGGCCGTGGGCGCGTGTTGAAAAATCGGTACGCCGTACGGTCGAACAATATCGTTTCGTTTGCTAACGTTACTGCGTTTTACAATGTCCGACACGGAAACGTTTCGAAAATATCGCACGCGCCCGTCCCCTACGAATTGCTACGACAATATCCCGGGGGGGGTGGGAAATTATTTTAATCGGTCCGCCTTTGGCGATCACGGCGGAATATAAATTGGAATCATTGTCAAGACCGTCGAGCCGATATTATGTAATGCGATTGAGCGAACAGTGAGGCGGCCCGTCGTTATTTCGCGCGTCGCATCACGACAATGACAACGACATTATTAGAAACTGTATCTCGATCGGTCCGCCCCGGCCGCCGTCGTATTGTAATTCGTCGTGTTATCCGGTTGACCAGAAATAACACCGTGCGCAAATACGATAATAGCGTTGCGGAATTCAAATGCAAATCGCGATTATAATTACCGTTTCTCTCGGCCATCCGATCGAATGTCCCAAACGGTTATTGTCGGCGTATTATTATTGTTATTGTTATTGTTATTGTTATCGTCTCGTTAAACCGTTATCAATTAATCGTCAATAATATCGGTGAACCGCGAACGCTGGCTGGCGTAATTGTTATTACGACGTGTACCGATTGGTCAGAAAAACGACGATTTTATAGTTCGAACGCTGCGAAAAATATCTGTAACGGATAGTATTTACAGGCGAGTACTACGTACATACGCATATATGTGTGCATGATGATAAAACCGAAATAGGTTTCGTTTTCGACACGATATTCAATATTTGACGGGTAGATATTATTGAACTAAGTAAGTATACAACTCTATTATACCTGTACCCAGTGGAGACGAATTATGGGTAATATCACTCCCACGGGCTTAAAAACACAACAATTAAGAGTGTTTACGTTTATATAACAGAATGAACGTGTTTAAATTATATATTTTAGCCGAATTATACGAGGAAAAAAGTTGAACGACAATTGGCTCTTTCGGGTACAGCGTTTAAATTCTCATTGTCGGGTTAGGCAATACGACAAAAAAAGGTTCTAGGTGTATAGGATTTATTCAATATTCGCGAGAAAAATAACCCCGTTTGCTCGAGCATAAACTGAACTCCGACTAAAAATCGAATGAAACGAACGGCACGGCGTTAAATTAGCCATAATTTAATACGGACAGTTAAGTAACGAAAAAATTGAAATTTTCGAAAAAAAACTCTTGCTCCGAGAATATTCTCGAGAAATGTACAACACAGCGGCTGACTCACTAACACGAATATTTCTACGGAAAAATGCAAATACAAACATTGTTATTCAACGTGACGTCTCGCACAGCTGTTGATCGAAATTTGTAAAAATTCTGAAGATGCAAACTTTTAAATATACCGTGATAGAGTGAAAATAAGTTTAAGTACCCATATCACGTCATTTAAATAATATTATATTTTTAAAAACCGAGGACGATAAAAATGATTCAGTGAACGCAACGTCTATTTATACGGATCGCTTTAGGAAAAACAATTGCGATTCTCGTCTATTTTTAACGGTCCGCCCGAGAGATCGGCTCAAAGTACACAATATATTTAGTTAGTTATTATAATATACAGTTATTTGTAGTTAGTTATTTAGTTATCAAGGAAAATGTTATCCCGAAAATACCTTTTATTAACTCCCTATCCGCTGAGCTCCAGTGGCGGCAACGGGGGAAGGGAAAGGCTGGACTAGTGTATTCGCCTGATTTTGGCCTCAAGCCGATATCGTTTCGGTCGACATTGGTTTTTGGGTCTGCGATAAAAACGTCAAAATTTTCACGACATAACACCCGCGCCATTAAAATATTTTCGTTTTATTTTCTATTTACCGACCGATTTTCGTAACATATAACGAACGGCCCGTTTTAATTTTTACAATTAATGTTTTTTTTTTTTTTTTTTTTTTCGGTAAATAAGTCTCTTCCTCGCGAGTCAGCGAATCCGGGAAGTTTTCCAGTTTTCCCCTGTTTATCGAATATATTATTATTAAAAAAAAAAAAAAAAAAAAAACTCACCACAAGTGTCTTTTTGGCCGTGTTGGTTTTTTCGTTGGGCGTACACAGACTTTGCTCGGCCGAACTTTCGGGACTGAACTCTCGGCGGACGAACGTTTACCGCGGTCGTATACTGGGATCGCGTGACGTGTCGTCTCCCGAACCACTGCGGGGCCGCGCTGCGGACGCGACGAAGGGTACGCGGAGGACGACGGAAAAAATAAACTAACCGGGGCGAGGGGAGGGTGTACGAAACCCCGAAACGACCAAAACGGGGTTTACGGAATAACGTTAAAAAGACGACGGAAAATGCACACCGCCGTGTAAAAAACCGGTAAGGATCGTCCCGCCGTATTATAATAAATACTATAATCGTATTGTTGTTGTTGTTGTTGTTGCCGTCGTGTACTGCTGCAGGACGGGACGGACGCGCATGCTCTTGGGTTTTGTTCGTTTTGTAGGGCCGGCTGCTGCTACAGGACGAAACGGGCGGCAACGTACGCGGCAACGGCGGACGGCGGCGGCGGCGACGACGACGACGACGACAACGACGGCGGACGTACACACGGGCTTGCGCGTGTCGAGACTGAACCGGCGAGGCGGTTTTTTTTCCCGTCGCTCTGCTCGCGTCCGCCAGGCGCGCGCGGACGGCGGCGGCCGCGAGGGGACACGGCCGCCTGGCCAATGGATCGTCGGCTGGGCGTGGCCGCGACGCGGCCGCCCGGCCAGACACCATTCCGCCGTCGCCGCCGCGGTAAATCTCCCGGGCCGCCGCCGCCGCCCGTTGTTTATTTCCGGTCGTGTCACTACTCGGGCCGCCGCCGCCGCCGCCGCCGCCGGAAGACGAATCCGGAACAGCGCCGGCCGCCCGCAATACTCGCGTGCCGCGGGTGTATACCGACGATTTGTTGTTAACGTCGTCGGCGGCGTTCGATCCGTTCTACACGACTGTCGCCGCGCACATTATTATAACGCGATAACAAAATACGACGAATAACACGGCGACAGGGCACTTTCGCGAACAGTTCGTATACCGTCGATGATTATCGGACGGTTCGGACGATCGATCAACGTACGTTTCGTTCGACCAGAGTCCGTAACCGGGGAAGAACGTTCCGAAAAAAAAAAAAAAAAACCGAACGACTGTCCAAACAGTTTTTCGCGTCGCGGTGACGGCCCGTGAACGGCCTATTGCACTGTAAACGACGGAACGAGCGTTTTGAAAATTGCTAGGGGGTGTTGACAATGCGATATCGACTCCCCTTCCCTCTTAAATTCTGCTTCGAATTTAAAATCCCGTCGTTTTTTTTTGTTTTTTTTGCTGTAGAGCTCCAACTCTCGTTTTCGGGCCCATTGTCAGGACGACGAACATTGCCGACGAGGGACCCGTTTGTTTTCGATAAATCGGTCCATCCTTATACTATTATTATTATTGTTATCGATTTATTACACTTATATTCGACCCGCTGTTGTTACCTGTGCACTACCTACAGCAGTCTTTTCAACCAGCTGTTGTTAACAACGACGTAATGTCCGGTTTATTTGTATTGTCAGTACTAGTGCACTAAAAAGTGTTCGTTACAGCGTTATTATGACTTTGGGCTTCTGCCGGTATTTTCAATAAATAATTATATACCCGGAGTGACGAACAGAATACGGTATTGGGTATCGGGCGTAGAAAACGAGGTGGCGTTTCTCGTTATGTTTGTCATTTGTCGATTTAAGGCTTCGGATAACGCGTATTCATTTGAACGTTTACAAATCACCGCGGTACAGGTTTTTCCATACGGGCGTGCGCGTTTGTTTTGGGAAACGATCGGTATAGTAATAGTTCGAGGTAACTTGTAAGATTTCGTAAGACGGCGTTCATATTATAGCGCACAAAGTTTATCAGATCGGTATAGTGTGCGTACGCGTATACGCATTATTTGTAACACAAAACGATTATTGTGGACGGCGTATAAAGCCTCGCTCGGCCCCGTCTTACGTGCGGTTACTGTATTCGGTATTGCGTCCGTTACCGTGTTATACTGTTTACGCCGAAAACGGTTTTGTTTTTTTTCCGTCTTCTTCTTCTTCTTTGGGCGAACGCTACAGTAACGTGACCCGAAACGATTTTGCGCGCACAGATTTTCACGTACGTTAACACGGCCGAATAAACAGGCGTGTCAGCGAAACGCTGTTCCGCGCGCGCACGCAACGTGCCCCGTCAGAACAAACGGTAAACCGTCAAGGGGTGATTGTTATAATATTATTTACTGTTGTCAAACGTCAAAAAAAAAAAAAAAATAAAATAAAAACACGCGTAATTATTTCGGCGTATGTAACGCGTATATTATAATAGTGTTCGTTGTATTTTATCGATCACTATATATTCAATACGGTCTCGATATACACGCGTAACATCTCGGATATTATATATTTTTTTTTTTTTTAGATATTTTAGGTTTTTTTTTTTTTTTTTTTTTGTATCCGGTTAAACAATATAATATTGGTATAGTATATCGTATACGTTATTATAATTGGCAAATATTTCGATAAACCGTATTGTAGGTCAATATTGACATACATTTTATTTTTTTTACACCGAATTTGCAAAAATATTACGAAAAATGTTTTAGTCATCGTGCACGGCACAAAAAGTGCATTTATTCGATGTAAAAATAACCTGCTATTTGTGTATAATATATATATATATTTATATCAATTTCGGACGATATTTTTTCAGATAGATTCTGAGCGGAACGAAAAATGTATTGATTTTATTGCTGTTATATAATAATGTGATATGTGCTTATTAATTTCCCCCCCCCCTATTTTCGAACAACTTTTCTATCAAAAGTCTTGTTCCGATTAAAAAAAAAACTACTCGATAGCTTTGTGTGGTATTTTTGACCTATATTCGGTTATTTGAAGCGAGTTTTTTTGATTTTTTTGTGTTTACATTTAAATTGAGAATGACCAGAAATATAACGAATATAGGAGAACGGATAATAAGACAATAAGACTCATCATTTTCGATTATTTTAATTTTAATTTTACACCAGAAATATTGATCCGATTTTCAACAGTAGCATACTTTCTGACAGACAATTTTATCTAGTTGGAGCGTAAGAAAATCGTTCTTTATTTTTTATTAATTTTTCTGTGCAGTTTTCTAAAGAATTAGTAAAAACGTGGGAAAAACGGAAAAACTGACGGCATTAAAGGTTTCATTATTTTCGATTTTGTTTTTTGTTGTAATTTGGTTTAAAATAATCGTAAATACCTGAAATTTCCATAGAATACAACAATTAATCTTCTTTAAACGTGTTAGAATTTTCAAAAATTTTGGAGTTTTTTTAGTTATTCATAGAAGCATTTTCGAATTTTTGTAAGTTTTATTTGATTTTGTGTAAATACAATTATTAAAGCCGAACAGAAATGTTTGTTAATTTAACTCGTTATCATAAATTTGAATGAGTGGTGATTAAAAAGTTGAGCGTTGTGCAGTAGTTTTTATTATTAGCTTTTCTTAAAATTGGAACTTATTCGAATGTCATCGGTTTTCGTCAAAATTACTGCATTTCTAAACATTATGTTAAACCGAACTTTGCTCAGAATCGTATTTTATCAATAATTATTTATTTTTGTGTACAAATATAAATTAAATAATTTCATGTATCTTTTCTTATATTACATCCTTCCTTCCATGTATACTTCTCCTAACCTATAACAGTGGCATGCCGATCAGCTCTTTTTTTTGCGTGTGTAATTATTTATTCGATTAAAAATAACCGTAAAGACTTCAGATTTTTACCGAATAAATATAATATTAATACTTTTTACACACGGTACAACTTTTAAATAATTCTGGCGGTTTTTTAACTAATTATACGACCAACTGACATTGAGATATAAAAGCGTGTATTGTGAGATGTCAAAATTTAAACATTTTTTTACTTCGCTTAGAAATTAAAAAACCGTCCTGCAAACACAGATTGGCTTACTTTGGATTTTTATATAACAAGTGAATTATTATTGAGTCTAAAAATTAAACCGACAGTACAAAATTGGTTCTATATTGAACGGTGGTGCCTTTGTAAGCCGGAAACAACAAATGAAAGTATAGAACGTCTTCATAAAAGGAAATCACGGTAGCATTTTATTGTCATCTTTGTTATTTTTACTAACGATGTAACAAAAATACGTTTACGGAGTTCTGGCGTTCTATTATAGTAGACTTAAAACGAAAATTAGTCTACCAAATTAGACTGCAAATCTTACTATGACGTTTTTACAAAAGGATTTCTCGGCGTTTATATACTTCCTCCCGCGGACAGTCCATACGTACATGAATTTGAATTTTTTTTTTTTAAAAAAAAAAAAAAAAACGTTATACTTATAATAATAAAAATATTTAAAAAAAAAAATCCTTTTGCGTAAACACAATAATAAATACTGCCGTCTTTAATTTGACGCAAGCGGTTGTATTTTAAGTCCATATTGCGGTCGTCTGTATAGTAAGGGATCGTATTACACGAGGCGTTTAAGTGGATTTTGTTTTTTTTGTTCGCTAAATAAGATTTTTCTAGTACTTATAGTTGCGTGTCTGCATCACTATATTATCATTATAATGCCGCTGTCTACCGTACAATCTTGACCGGGTTTTTGAAACGAACGCCGTAATACGAATCTCCCTCACTGACCCGGATTGAATATAATATTATTATTATTATTATTATACATTTGCCAAGTATCGCCTTTCTGCGCCTGATAGTCCACGCAATGTATTATACATATCTGCGCCGCGTGTTGCCTATACGCCGCGTAATGTGGTATTACTATTTATTACTACTACCAACTTACCATAATAATAGTTATAATATAACGCGAGCATTGTCGCGTACCTGTATAATAATAATATAGTATAACGGATATCGCAATATCATAATATTATGCGGTGTGTCCCACGAAGTATACCCGTTGTAATATCCCCGGAGATAATAAAGATAATCACATATTTTTTTTGTTTATATTACTCAATAATAATGATGGAAAAAAGATAAGGATTACGATTAGTATTTATATTACTATTCATTTTTTTATATTTTGATAAAAAAATTTAAATAAATTACTTTTTATTTTATTACTTTTGATGAAAAATTTGAAAACAGCCATTTTATAGAGTTTATTCTTCTGAAAATGTTGACTCGTCCTTTAATTTTCATCGATTCCGTGATTTCAGAGTTCAGAGCAAACCTCCTACGGTAAATTAATCGTAACTAATAATAATAATCGGTTATTAGAGAATGCGATTACAGCCTGCTGCAAAGAAACTGTAGGTACTTTTCTCTGAACATAAATTGTTTATTAAAAATCGTGAATTTTAATGAAAATAAAAAGTTGATAAATCAAAAATTTTAGAAATATAAACTCTATAAATTAGCTATCTTCCAAATTTTTCTAAAATAATAAAATAAAAAGTTATTTTCCTAAGTTTTTTTTATCAAAGCATAAAATTTGATTGCAATAAAAATATTCGTAGTCCTTATCCCGTTCGGCGATATATGAAAAAAAAAAAATTTGATTATGTTTATTATCTCCGGAGATAATACAATGAGATCTTCGTGGGCACTCTGTATACAAATTTACATATATTATTATATGTTTTAATATAATATTATTTGTTGGCATATATTATACCTATGCATTTTAGTATCAAATGGATAGTGATGAATTCTCGATAAGACAGTCATTATCTCGGAAAGTATTAACCAGCGGTCACCAGGTACACACTATACTATAGCGTGCTACATTTTTTTGTAGCGAGACTGGTAGCGTACGGTTATATTTTGGTGACTAGCGTATAGCACGACAACACTACGTTTTTCATAGAAACAGCTCAAAATTCGCCACTTTAAGCCCAGATTTTTAAACGAAATATTAATATTTTTAGTTACATTTATTATATAATATTTATTGTAAACATTTGTGTTTAGGGTGTTGCATTTTATT